TTAATTTTAATTTTAAATTAAAAATTTTAATAAAACTATTTAAAATAATAAATTTTTTTAATTTCTATTTCTTTTTTATCAAATATACGTATGTTAATAATAAGTTATTAAAAGAAAAATATTTTATAATCATTTAAATGATTCTATTTTAGTAATATTTTATTTTTACAAATTTATTATTGATTTATAAAAATTGCATAATACCATAGAAACAGAATTACATTAACGTATTAGATGCATATACAAGTACATTACATGATTCTGTATATGTATGTTTTCCAAAGGATTATTATGAACATTTAGCATTTCGCTTTTTATAATCATTTATTTATAAAATTTTATAAACATAAAACAAGTACTTTTTGTTATATTTTTATAAAAAAAATTTTAATCATTAAACATATGAACTCCATAAAACTCAATTCTATTATTTTAACGCACTTAAAGATATCTAGATGAAAATAAACAATTCAATTATTTTTTAAATTTAATTTTTTAAAATTTAATTAAAAATACATATTTAAATATTATATTAATAAAAATTACTCAAATTGTAATTAGTAATATAATTAATCAGAAATTATAAAAAAAATATACATAGCATTAGAATTTCATGATATAGTTCTTAAAATATTATCTTTTTTTATTAGATTATATCATTCTTCACTACTGATAAATATTCATTATTTCATGTAGTTTTTAGTTATAATTATGTAATAAAAAAGAATGATTATCTATTTTTGTTTTATTATACAGAATAGTTTAAATAAAATTTTAAAACTTATTTTCTCAGGAATCAAAGAAAATATTAATTTTTCTTTTTTGATTTTGAAGAAAGCTTCAAATTTAAAGATTTTAGAAAAAGGACTTAAAAAATTAAATCAATATTTTCATTGATTTTTGAGAAAACAAATTGTAAAATTTTATTTGACCCATCCTGTATATATATGTATATTTCAAAATAATGTTGCAAAATATCACAATGTAACATAATCACAATGTAACATTTTATTATAAATTTAATTTAATATATATAAATCTATTTTAAATGAATTTATTTTTTACACTAAAAAAAGAAGTACTTTTTTTTATATTAATTATTTTAATATTTGTAATAAATTTATCATATTTTATTCTTCTTTTGAAATACTTAAATCCATAACAAAAACAATATATTCTTATTGTCATCAAAGTTTTACTATAAAATATATATTAAACGCGATTTCTTAAAAATTGTTAAATATAATTATTATGCAGTCACACTGGGTTATAAGCACTCTTCATAAAATTTATACTACATGTAATGCATAAATAATTAATCTCAAATTTTGGTTTCCAAAAAATTAAATGTACGTGTATATGCTATGAAAATTAAATGAACATGTACAGTACAGCATGCATATGAACATTATGTGTCAAGTCATGTGCATGTGTACTTGTTCATAAAATATCACATTAACTTAATACAAACAATATGAGTGAGAATTAAATAATAAGAATATATTTACGAAACCAGCCTTATAGTGGAATTAAATCCATAATAAGTATATTAATCGCAATCGTTACAGCACTTCCTGATCAGGTACTTAACATGCACTTGATATTTTGAGAGAGAGAGAGAGAGAGAGAGAGAGAGAGAGAGAGAGAGAGAGAGAGAGAGAGACAGAGACAGAGAAAAAGAAAAAAAAAAATACTCGCTTTTTAAAAAATATTTCTATTTGTCATACAACACATTTTACGTTTTTCTTATCAAATTAACTCATTTATGTTTTGTATTTGAAATATTATTCTATTTCTTTTTTTATATAATGTGTTACATTTAATCACACATGTATTACATAAAAAGGTGATAACATCAAATTCAGTATCTTTTTTATCTGTTTTATATAATATTTTTCTTATATAGATAGAATAACATTCTATTGTAGATAAATTTATTCCAGTTAAAATACCATTTACAAGTTATTTACTTGTAATATTTACTTTATTTGATATAAGACAATATTTTTAATTCGTTTTTGCTACTATTACAAAATAATGATAAATTTTTATAATAGTCAATTTTAATTTGACTTTTTTTTCAATTTCATAAAAAAAATTTGTCTGTTTTATAAAAAAAATTAATTAATATGAAAGATCATAATCATAAATGAGTTAAAAGAACAAGTTTTAAGTTTTTACTTAAAATAAATTAATAAACTTCATATGTTTTGACTATGCTACGCAAGTGCCCATACAATTTCTGTAAATTTCTTTTTGTGTTTAGTCTATTTTAAGTAATTATTTACACTGTTTCATTACATTATAAAGGCTTATGCACATAATGATACAAGTTGACATAGACACAAGTCTGATTGATCTTAACTAAAAAAAATCTTAAACATAAAATAAATTTCCATACTAGTTAGATGATAATTATTGAGGGAATATCTTGAAAGTTTTATGCATATGATCATAAACTGTATCATTCTTTTTATAAATCTAACATAAAGATGCATTAATATTTTAAAGTAAGCATGTTATCCCTCTATTTAATGTAAGTCAACATCAGTGAATTATAAAATTTTAAAAATTAAAGGGTTTATAATAAAAACGATCTTTCAGTTTTTATTATTTTTTTTTTTAGAAAAATAAATATTTTAGTAATAAAAAAATATTTTAGTATCTTTAATTTTTGTTCAATAGACTTAACTTTTCATTAACGAAACATATTATACAATTGCTGTTGATATTATCTATAATTATTACAAAAGAACTATATTTAAACAAATCATAAAGTGAACTTTATGATAGAAATTCAACAAACAAGGATCATTTGTATTATAAATCCTTCAATTGTTTACATAAATTTAAAGATGAAAAAAAAGTAGCACTGTTTATACATATTAAAATAACAAATGAAACAAAGGTTTTCTCAGAGTTACACGACTTTTGTATTGATATGCTTTTAATTTTTTAAGCAAAAATTATTTTTATCCATATTTTTTATAACATAATATTCATCTTGTAAATCAATATTAAATCATAAATAATTCGTAATTTTTAAAACAATTTATATAAATATTTAAACAAAACAATTGCGCTTTGAATACAATTATCGTGTAAATTGAAAAGTACCCGTAACATATGCATTGTGCATTAATATTAGCAATTATAATACGTGGATCATCCAAGAAATTAATTAATGAACTCAATAATTTAATGAAAATATGAAATTTTCAAATTTAATATATGAAAAAAAAAAAAAAAAAAAAAAAAAAAAAAAANAAAAAAAAAAAAAAAAAAAAAAAAAACAATTGTTATTGCTTTTTCAAATAAAGACAAAAATATTAAATGAATATTAGATATCTAATAAATATTTGTGCTTATAGAAATCCACTTGACTAGTTGGTCATGATCCACTATGTTATTAATAAATTGTCATGACAGTGCTTTATATATACAATCATGGAAGAATGACTTTTATGATATCAACCAGTCGTTAAATAATGTTCATTGAAGCAAGAAGGTACTGGCTTTCTAGCGGATTTAAAGAATACATAAAAATCATATCTTCATCATCATCTTTTATATATAATGCCAACTTTCTTCAAAAATATCTCTTGTTTTTTATATGAAGATATTTTATCATATCTCGAAGGAAATAGCATAATGATATATATTGTATTCTATTATTATTACTAGTCTTTTAAAACTTCATCAATGAACAAAATACAAAATGAAAAATAATTATTTTTTAGAAATTCAAATATTAATTACTAATTCTCACATACACACCATTCTGTATTAAATATTTTTATATCTATAATTCTGTATTAATAATTATCTTTAAAAGTTATTAAAAAAAAATAATAAATTTAATGTTTTTAGATATTACATCTAGAAATTAAATATATAAAAAATAATATAAAATAGTATAAAATCAATGAGAACTGATGTATCACATAAGCAGTATGTCATATACCTTCATTAGTAATCAACTTTTACTAAATTATATTATCATTGGTTAATAAGAATGAAATTTTTTATATTATAAAAAGGATATATTATGTTCAATATCTATTAAATATATGAAAGGAAGACGTTTATGGGAAAATTTAAAAAAAATTTTTCATTTTATTTCTTCAAATTACTAAATATTATATAATTAGAATATTAATAATGTTATTAAAAATTAGAATTTTGATTTGAAAATTGATTTAACTATCTAATTATAAACGATTTAATTGTTTAGTATATAAATAAACGTGGCATTACATTACTTTATCTCTTGAAACTCATTATATAAATGAGTCAAATTTTTAAAGTAAAAAGATCTATGTTTTCCATCATTTTCATTACCAATTATAATATACTTAACTTAAAATTTTTTTACAAAATTTCTATCTATTATATAAAACACTGTACATATTTCGAAAAATTATGAAATATTAATACTTATTTCATACCGTTCGAAAGCCAATACACAATTTTACCATTCTAAAAAACTAAAAGATTATATTCAAAAAATATAAAAAACGTATAGAAATGAGAGAATATCAATACGTTGATGATTATTTCAAAATGAATTTGGCGTTTTCGACATTTACAATTCTTTCGAATGATAACGGCAGGTTTTTCAATGTATATTAATGGCTGGTTTTGGATGATCACATGACTTAAAATGGCTTCATTTGCCAAAGACATTAAATACAATTGTATGCTGGACTAGCTTCGGATTACGACTTGAATAAGATTTGTGTCTATAACAAGTCGTCATAGATTTAGGCATATGCTGTAGGAGGATCAAATAAATTAAATTTTCAATTTTTCTATTTTATAGGAAATAAAAAATATTCATTATATCGATCCAATTTATATTATTTTCTATTTTTTTTATAGTTATACACATCGTATTTTTAATAGAAAGTGTGGTGTGAAAATCGATATAATTCGAATAAAAAATTAGTAAAATATAATTTTTTAAACATCAACAATAAATTTATCAAATATTACAATCTAAATAGAAATAATATTTAATTTAAAATTTAATAATCGATTATAATAACTATATTACGCATTGTTGCGTCATTTTATTAACTTTCTTAATACATCTTTTATAAGTACCAAAAAGATACTTCTTAGATCAACCTACAGCATGTTTAATAGAACGTAACTAATTTTTAAATATTTTATAATTTAGTTACGTTCCATGGTCATAAGTAGTTAATAATGTTGTATTACTTCAGGTGACAAATACAATATAAAACATGTTTCTAGAAGCCTCCCATGGAAGACATTATAAAAGATATCTTTTATTATGAAATTTGACAAATTTGTAGCATAAGCTATGTTAAGCAAATATTACACACATACTTTATGTTATAAGTGTTAAAAAGATCTAATATTTTATTACCTGAAATTTAAAAATTAGATCTCAATAAAACAAGTATATATATATATATATATATATAAAACTTAAGTTTGTATTTAAACTTCCATTGAGAAACAGACTGAAACATGTTTATGAAATATATATAATCAATTTTTTGAAGCCCTAATATGGCCAAAAATTGTTTTTTTCAAGCTTCGGTAGATGCTATTAGGGAATTCTTGGGTGTATACGCTGTCGCATTTGGATCTAAATTTGACACTGTACACCCTGGACAGGGACTTTCATTTGAACGTATTTTTGTACCTGTAACTCGTACTTCATTATTTAATCGAAGCTTAGATGTCGTGCATGTTGGCGCAGGTCCAAATGTATCTTGTGGCATCACAGCTAAATCTTGGGCTATTTTTGCTTTTAATATTTCAATTTCTTTTTCTTGAGATCTAATTAAACCTAATTTAACACAAAATATATATTTTATTCTAATTTAGTATATTTTAAAAATATTTAAAAAAAAATATTTTAAATAAAAATATATTTGAAAAATCCGTATTTAAATTAATTATCAAAATATTAAAGAATAATAATTGAAATTAAATTTTACTTACTTTCTCTGATTTCTAATTGTCGCTTGGCTTCACCAAGTGCAGAAAATAAATCAAGTTTTATACGCGTTTCTGCACTTAAACTATCTTCTAAATGCGCAGTTTTATCTTGTAGCGCATTTAATGCACCAAGTAAAATTTCAGATTCTTTGTGATTTTCCTTACAACGTGATAAATCTTTTTCTAGTGTGTTGCATCTAAATACATATATATATATAAAATTAACAAATACATAATTTTATGAATTCACAATACGAAAATATAATATTAACACATTGAATGCTAAACTTCTAATATACTTCTTCATTTATATTAAAATTAAATTTTCAGATAAAAAAAAATAAAATATATTCACATATCTTTTTTTAAATTAATAATATTGAGAAAAAAATATTTATTTGTTAATGTATAAATTATTTTAAACTATTATTCATAAAAAAAATATCTTGAAAAAATTTCTCTAATAGAATTAGAATCTTCAATAAAAAAGAAAGTATAATTATTAGCAGCGTGTATTTTATCGATATTGTTATTGTATATTAAACTTGAAACATTATATCATAACAACATCATAATTAATATTAAATATTTTATAATTTATTAACTATTATTAATTTCAATATTTCAAGTTCATCAAGAAACACTTTATATATTTAAATAATAATTGTATTTACAAAACTATAAATGTTATCACTTGTAAATTTTACTATTATATTTGCTAACATTCAATGTATTAATTTGTGAAAAATTAATTTAGTATAAATTTAAGTTTTAGCAAAAAATACTTTTAAAAATTTTATTATCTATTTATTTTTATATATGATTTATTATTATTTCAAAATTCTTACCTATCTTCTTTCGTTTTAAGCTCTCGCCGCAAATTTTTGAGATCTTGTTCCATTTGTGTTCTACGACTTTTACAAATATCTGTACATTCTTGTCTAACAAGTGGCGGAGGCGGAGGCGGGATTCGTGCTTCTTCTGCAGCTCGTCGTGCTCGCCTTTCAGAAACTAAAGATGCTTCGCAAGCAGTACGTTGTTTTCTTTCTTCAGCAATTCGTTTTTCCAACGACGACATTGTTTGTTTATCTAATTGACGAGCTGTTACTAATCCATGTAACCTGTTCATATAAAGATATATTTATATATAATTATTTAATAGCAGAAATCTATTATTAATTTAATTTTAATAATGTAGAAATACCATTATTTATACATACTTGCTTTGTAATTGATCATTATCATGCTGAAGTTGTTGTATATCACCCTTAGCTTGGCGTTCTCCACTTTGTAAGGAACTTATTTGAGAACGAAGTTCTTGTTCCAATTGTCGACTGGATTGCAGATCTGATTTCAAACGTTTTATGTCAGCTTCAAGCCTGCGACACATCAGTAACCTATTTAAATGATATTATATTACACTAAAGAAAAAATTTGATAATATAATAATTGTGCTTTTCGATTTAACAAAAAAAAAAAAAAAAAAATTAAATTCATTTAATAAATAAAATTTTTTTAATAAAAAAATGAGATAGAAAAGTACAAATGTACACAATATTAAATTTCAATTTAATACAAAAACAAAAATGAAAAATATAGAAAATATAATAATAAAACTCCATTTATCGGAACGAAAATTTCATCAATATCCAATTAAGTGAATAATTAGGTTGCTATTATCTTATTATTAATATTGATCATGTCACTCCAATTATATGATCATCATGAATGAAAATAAAGATGTAATATATAACAAGAAGCTAATATATTATAAAATCCAAAAAATAAGCTGTATGTATGATTAAATTCATTCATTTGAATTTTGATTATTTGAACGAAAAGTTAAAAGTATTGAGAGTAATCGATGAACTTCTATTATATGAACTTATTCGGAACTTACATGAAATGTTTATCCTCCATCAGATTCATATAAATGAAGTTCTATTGTACCTAAAATAATATTTTTATTGATTCATTAAATGATATAAATAATATACCTTTGGCAATATTCATCTTGTTGTTTTTGCTGTTCAGTTATATTATCAACTGTAACTTTAAGTTGACGAGTTTTTCGCTCACGTTGATTATTAATAGTAGAAGATGACTCTCGATTTTCTTTTATATTATTCCATTTTCCTGTTACAGAACCATTAGTTTGTGATTTTAATGTTGTATGACTACAATTTCCGCTTTTAATAAATTTATCTCTTTCTATTTCATTTGTATCAAAATCATTGACAGATCTGTAATTTTCATTCAAAATATTAATAAATTTTTTATTATATTATAAAATAGATAAAATAGATAAAAAATATATATAAGTACAAAATTTGACTATATTCAAAATAATTTATATGATGTATAATTAATTAATTTCAAATGTATTGTTACTTACCCAATTCTTTCAATGAATTGTATATCATTGTGATTAATAGTATTTCCATTTGTATGTATAAATTTTTTATCATTTTTATCAGATTGTGATATATTTGTTACATTATGCTTATTGTGTTGTTCTTCTTGTTTCTCACCTTTATCTAAAGATTTTCTGTGATTATTTTTTGTTGTTACATTTTGATTTGTTGATGTAATTTGTGTACCTATATGCAAACTGCCATTTTGTATACCTGTTTCTACGGAATTACTACTGTTTCCTATAATATTTTTAATTATTAAATTATATTTTACTTTTAACATTATAAATATATTAAAGTTGAAAATAAATACAAACTACCTCTACTTTTTTCAGGACTTGGATTACATTGTGAATTTAATTTATTATTTTGTGATTTAACATGTTGCTCTAATGTAGTAATATGAGATTGTGATGAAACTTGTATTGGTTGTATTGTAGTAGAGGTTTGTTGCTCTAAGGGCAGTGCTTGCTGCAATAGTTGTAAATAGAACTCATTTTCCTTTGCTACATCTTTTTGTTTCCTCTGAAAAAAAAAAAATTCATATATAAAATCAATCTTAAAATAATTGATATTTATAAATTTACCTGTCTCATTCTGTAGCCGATGTAGCTCTTAAAGCCAAAACCTAATGTAACTACAGGATAACCAATGCTAAAAAAAATTATATCTTAAAATATTTTTATTATTACTTTTATGTTGATATTATTTATTATTTATTTATTAAATATAGTAATAATAAATTTTAATAATTTCTGTTTTAATTGATTTTTTGACAGTAAATTCCATATTTCTGTTTTAATTATAATAATCTTATTTTTATATATACTAACAATTTATATATATACTAACAATTTATTATTATTATTTCTTTGTTACTTAAATTGTTAATTTCTAATTCTTAACTCATTTTTTTATATTTTTCAAGTTCTGTTTATTAAAATATGAATAAAGATGTAATAAGAAAAAAATATATACCAATGTGCTGCAAATGGTCGACAGAGATCCAAATGAAAGGGCATATGTCGTAAATCTCTTAATCGAACTGCTGCTTCTATATATAGAAATAGTAACCATAGCATCACAGTTGGTAGGCACACACCTTTATCTATTTTACATATATATTTATACATTATTTTTATTATAATTATTTCTTATCAAAATAATCTAAAAGAAAAAAATTTATATTTACCTGTATGCCAAACATATTGTACCCAAACATAAGTGCTAGCAGCAAAAAATAACCAATGTACTGGTATGAAAAAGAAACAAATCATATCTGATGTAAGAGCAATACAAATAAAAAATACAGAGAAGGCCTGAAAACATAATTTACATTTTAAAATTAAATATATGTATTATATAAATTTTTTTTGCTTATTACTTACCAAGCCTTGATATTTAAAAGAATCGTAAACACTTCTGAGTAGTAGCCAAAATGGCCATAAAAATTCAAATCGAAATTCTAAAATGAAGTCTGCCAAAATTACCATGGCCCATAGTAGAAGAAATTTTAAATAAAGTAATGTACTGAAATAAAAAATATTATTTCATTATTTTTTATTATAAAACAAACAATATAATACATATAAATATTGAATCATTAGTTTTGAAATATCTACAATTATTATATATATTGAAATATTTTTAATAAAAAATATTTAAAAAAAACAAACATTACAAAATATATATTTTCAAACAAAATAAAATAAAAACTTTAAAATATAAAATTATACAAATGATTTTAATTATATATACATAATTATGATAATATAACATAAATTAATATATTAAAAAAAAAATTTATAATATTTATAAATTTATATAATTATGTGTAAAAAAACTATATTACAAATTAAGTAAAAAAATATAATATAAAAAACATATAATTAAAAAACAATTTCAAGAAAATAATTTAACAAATTATTTTCAAAACAAGCACACATGGTCAAGGTTTTAGTAAATGTCAAGTATATCACACAGTTTCTGGAAAGCGGTCGACAATCACATACTGATACAAAGCATCATAGAAGTTTTTACACTCCATAAATTGAAAAATATAACAATATTTGATTAATAGTTCAAAAGTATTTCAAGAAATGATTCGTTAGATTTTTGGTTATTTTTAAAATTAGCTATTCCAATGAGAGAAGACATATGGCGGCGAAAATTTACCTTCCGTAGATTCCCTCGGTGAGCTTGTTGCGTTTCAAGGGCCTCCGAAGCTTACCGCACTCGACATTTCTTCTCTTCATATTCCTTGACACTTTCACTACAACCAAAACGATGTTATTCGCGGCGAGCAACAAAATGGAAAAAACCGCAAATTTTCTGCGGAATTGTGAAAAAATCCACTGTCTCGCGCGCGACTTCTATCAGCCTCTTTTGTTGTCATTCGTCTGCGGACAGATTCGAGCTTTTACGGCGGTTTACCAAGCAGCTGATTGGTCCATTGTAGGATATGGCGCTAATCACCCGCAAAAATCACCTGCTTAGATATTTATTTTACGATGCACTTAAAATTGATATATATATCTGATATATATTTCGTCTTCTATAAGAAATAAATCTTTCTAACTATATAACAATTTTCACAGAAAATGTTTCTAGATTATATGCTTTATCGATCATACATGTTTTCGATTGTACCATAGGTCAATCGACTTGTTTCATTTACGTTAACAGCGCTCTGACCTAGCGATATATGAACTATCTTTCTCTTTCATTTTCTTTATTTCTATTTTATTCCCTTTCTCTTTGTTATATGATATATTTTGTTTTTTTTGTTTTAATATATTAATAATTTTTTAAATTTTCCAATCTCTTTTATCTATATATAACAAATATATTTTTTTTTTATCATTTCTATTATATATTTCTATTATCTCTATATAATTTAGTTAGAAAGATTAAGATATATATCTTTTTCGAAAAAATATTAAATCTATAATATTAATGTAGGTATTAATAATCAGAAATATATAGTGGAAACGAAAGTATTCGAATGTTTACATTTGTAATTTTTGATGAACGAAATATACATGTCAAAAGAATTTGTTTAAGACAATGAGAAATATATAGTAGAAGAGAAAAATTACATCAGCATAATTTGAAAATGATTATCAATTTATGCAGTAATTATAATATATTTATTATATACACACACTATTAATAGGTTAGAAAAATATTCGAATATTGATACGTTGTTGATAGTTTTTATTTTAGCTAGAAATATGAATAATGATACTAATGAATATTGAGAGTATTTTTATGTTCAGTTGATATCAAGATATCGTTCCATTAACAATAACATAAAAGTGTGCAATAAATTATCGTGAAACATAGATATATCTTTTTATACATAATATATCAATAGTAATATATGTGTAAAATATATTATAATTTGTCAAATAAATGAAGAAATTAGATTATTCATATAAATTGCATTATTGGAAATATTATAACAGGAATATATTCAAATATAATAAATAACAATATAATTTTTCACAATTTTATTTTTACTTTTTTACTTTATAATATTAAAAATTATTGCTATTTTATCAAAATTGTATCAATATACTTGCAATATAAATATTATGGTTATAAAAAGTAATTTGAAATTTAATGAAAATACTTTAAACTTTATATTAAGCTTGATAATTTTTATTATATTAACTATGATTAAATATTATTATTTTTATAATTACATTAAATTATTTGATCTATTAATATGGATATTATTACAAATTATAAATTTTAATAAATGGAAGAAAAAAAATATTCATGATATTAATTCAATACAAGGTTTGGATTATGGAACTGGATTAGCATACAACTATTATTATGGATATTTAAAAGTTATACTTCCTTCAACTGGCAGTCTTAATAAAGGATTAATTGAGAAAATAGAAAATACTGAAGATATACATAATATAAATATAACGGTCCATAAACTATTTATTTTGATTCCTTCATCATCATATATTCCACCTGATCTTAAAGAAGCTTCATATCAATGGATGGAAAGTGCAATGGATTTGGAAGATGAAGTACGTAATCGAGCAGGAGTAAAAAGCAGATCATATCACAATAGTGTATATAAAATTTATCCTAATGGACAAAGATCAAATGTACCTCAATATATAGTGGTAGAAGGTGCAACACCTTTATTAACTTTTTTTGAAGTTCAAAAACACAGTCATTCAGAAACAAATATATATAAAAAATATTGTAAAGAAATCGTACAGAAATTTTATATAAAATTACAAGAACTAATAGATAATGATCCAGAATGTGCAGACCTTTGTGAATTAATTTATTATGATGATTATGATCGTAATAAAACTAAGATTAATATTGCAAAAATCTTATTAGAGAGATTATCAAAAATTAAAACATAAATGTAAAAAATAATACATCAAAATTTTAACATATTTTACAAATATAAAATATTTTCAGTCATTGTAATTTGCAGAAATAAACAACTACATTACCAAAATATCATTTATTTATTGTAGTACAAATATATGTGAAAATTAGTTATAAAATAACGTGTTTAGTAATGCAAATTTGGATGTACTAATTTAAATTTTTTTATCATCTTTATTAGCAAATATGATGATCAAATGCAATGAATATAACTATATCAATTATATTTAATATTTCTCAATTATATTATATAAACACTTATTTAAGGCCCCTGATAGTATATATTTATACAAAAATGCTATTTTGCTAATATATTTTTGTGTGGTTACATTGATTATTACTACTTATTAAAATTGCTGGCACATTATGAATATATTTTTATCACAATTTGTTACATGTCCATTTCAAATTGTTCTGCAGATTCTTCAATTACTGGGGTGTCTGTAAGATAATTAAAATCATAATGTATAATTTATAAATTATTAATATATATATTTAAATGAATCTTTTTAAGAAATAGAGTAGATTTTATCACATCATTAACTATTAGTTTTTAAATAAATAAATTAAAAAAATAAGTAATTTAAATATATGTGCATATATATGCATGCGTGCGACAAATGAACAAAATATATAAATTCTAACCTTTGATAATTTGATTTTTTACTGATGTCAAAGGATTTGGTGATGTATGTTTCAATAATTCTCCAGGTATAGATGGCATATTTCGTGGTGGTGTTCGTGATATAGGAGAATTTCGTAAATTCATTAAAAAGTCACGTTCATAAACAATACGAGTACCTGCACAATTTTTATACTTTATCTTTTATAATTATTTACAAAATGAAAATTTTTTAGGATTTTTTTTTAAATTCTAATTATACTATACTAATTTTTTATAAATACTAAATTTAATAATTTTTTTTAACAAATTTTGTTTAAAATAATATTTTTATAATGATTATTTTTTATTTTACAATATTTTTTTATATTTTAATTGACTTAAATATATAAGAATAAATATGCTAATTATAAAATATAAATATCAGAAATTTATATATTATAAATTAAAGATTCAATTTTTTATATTTTTACAGAAAAAATTAATAATTAAAATTTAATTAGACTTGTTTATTTTTAAATTAAATTAAATAAACAATTTTATTTACCAAGCTCTGAGAATGTAATGTAAGATCTTAAAAAAGTTACTAGAATATATAAATATAATATATATATTTTATAATACTCTATAAGAATATAAAAAGAATGAATTTAAAAATAAAAATATATTAATATTTATTTATTAATATTTAATAAAATTATTATATTTTATAATAGAATGTAAAGCATACAATAATGTTTATATCAAAATTCATAAATATAATATTAACAATTACATTAATACAATACTAATTAATACAATAATTAATATTTTTAGAATTGTTTGTTCACTTTTGTTATGATTACTCAAAAATTATTAAAGAAATTTATTTTCAAATAAAATTATTATTAATCAATTATTTATTAATCTATATTGTACTATTGTATGAAATATACTAAAGTTTTGATTAAGTATTGATTATTTAAAAAAAAAATATTACATTAATAATAACATAAGAAAAAAAAGACACTGACCTCCAGGCGTAGTTGAAAAAAGTGTTCCACCAGGGGTGGATGAATAATCATTAGGTAATTGACTGGGATCATTAATAATGATTCGTTTCGAAGGTATGTTTTGACTTTGGGTAGCTTGTCTTGCAATCGGTGATGCGGACATACTTGATCTTTCAGTTTCTTTGAAAATAAAAATAATTTTTATTTAAGATAATGTGTTTAAACAACATAAAAATAAAATTTGTAAACGATTCATTATTACTGTTGACAAATAATTTTACTGCGTAATTTATGAAAAATAATGGACTGTGAACTCGACTTGTAAGCATAAATATAAACAGTCATTAAATGAAAAAGGAACAAAAAATCGCTTTTTTCCAAATTTTACATTATATTCATTCTCACTAGTTTAATCGGTTTAAATATTTTACGTTTACAATAATCTGAATTAAGTATAAACAAAGTATAACATACGTGTAACCTAAAAAATCGAATCACGAACGAACACAACAATTCACAAAAGTCTCACCATACGATAAGTGATTGTTTTATATAAGTTCACAAGTTCTCCCCACTCCTAAAATACTACAGAAAAATGCTATCTAAAGCATTAGCAATCATTGGCGCGAACTATCGTATTATCATTGTACTAAATTCAAGTACAATAATTAAATATTCAAATATTGTAATACAATTTTTTATTTTTTAAAATTATATTTATACAACTTCTATATTAAAAGTTTAAAATTTCATGAATTTATATAATATAAATTTTTATAACGTAGCATATTGATTTCTATTTTTATTAAATGATCTAATTTAATTATCAAGAAAAAAAAAATATAAATTTTTACAAATTTTCATCATTTTTGATTAAAAAAATTTTAATAATATATATTATATTCTTTAAAAATTTAATTTTATCTAAAAAATTTATTTAATTATAAAAAAATATATTATAATTAAAATGCAATATATATATTGTTAAACAATGTAAAAAAAACTATTAAAGCCCATCATATTTAAAAAATAAAATATTTATCCTTAATTTTTTTTTTATAAGCATATTTCAAGTTGTAAAATGTACATTTTATGGAATAAAAATTTATATCTTTTTTATTCTTACGATTTTATTTCTCTTAAATTTATTTCAAATATCTTAATTGCTATAATTTAAATAAATTTTTTCAAACATTTATTTTTTAGATATTCAACTTATATATATTTTAATTATTACAATAAATAACATAAATGAGAATAAAAATACATATATTTCATAAATATTTAAATATAAAAATTTACTGAAAAAAAGAAATTATTAAATTTGATTTAAAAATTATTTGAAAAATTTTATATTTCAAATTTAATTGAAGATTGTTTTTTATTTTTATTTATTAATAATATTAATATTAATAATAATGAAATTATTAAAAGAATTAAAAATAATGATAATGATATAAAAAAATAATTTGAATATTTAAATAAAAACTTTTGTTATAACTTAAATATATCTGAATAAATAAAAGAAAATAATACATTGACAATATTATTAAATAATTTTAATATAATGATCTTTTAATTATTATTACATAATTTTTATTAATTAATTATTATTACTAAATAATATTCAACTGCCTTTATTAATTTTATTTAAAATAATTATATATTTGATTTGTGTCAATCTGAAAATTACTTATTAAAGACTCTGTGATATATACTTATGAATCTTTTTTTTTTTAAATATATTTTTTTGTGAGAAGATTGTAATTTATTATTATTAAACATTTTTTTTTTCATTTAATATTAATATTAGATGTATCATAAACTCGATTTTTTGAAAATAAAATTCATAATTAATACAAAATTTCTAAACAATATATTCAATTGAGAAACTTTATATTATTATTGAAGTTCATATATATTTTTTCTTGAAATATTTGTATTAAAAAGATAAATTTTAATGATTTTCTAAATTAATAATCAATTAATAATCATTAATAATCATCAAATTTTTAATTATTCAATAATATTTGAAAAGAATTATTTAAAACGGAAAAAAGTAGAAACTCCCAATTTGCAACTCAATTTGCAAAAGCAAATTTTTAATATTTGATTTATACAAATATCAATGAAGCAATAGACTGAAAATTCAGCTTTTGATTATTTTATATTAATACAGTACATAATCATAATATTAGTTATTTATTATATTACATATACATTATGATTATCATTTGATTAAAGTAAATAATTACGTAAAAATGAAAGATTTTTATGATTTCCGAGTATAATTTACTTTATTTTATTATATTAGTAAAGACTATATTAGTAAATCATCTGAAATTTATTAGAATTAATTACTAGGATCCAACAATATATATATCAATATATATATCAATAATTTGCTAAAATAAAATAAATAGAAATGACTAATGCAATTTAAAATAAATATAGATAAGTAAAAATAGTAATGCAATGATTCTATGTGAACGACAACCATATTTATTGTGTTGATTTTAAGAGTTCAATTTAACCATATATATATATGGTTATTGATCATATATATATATTATTTGTATCATGTGCAAATAATATACAATAAAACTCACAATAGCTCACTATTTCAAAAAATTTGTAATATTTACAGAATTTAATAATAAAGAGTTTTCGGAAATTCGAGCAGTTTCTAAAAATGTATATATAAGAAAGAAAATACAAAATTAATAATATTAAATGTAAAAATATATAATAATAATAATAATAATAATAATAATAATAACAACAACAACAACAATAATAACAATAATAACAATAATAATAAAAAATTTATTTTTATGAAATTACTCCAACTTTCGAAAACTATTATAGATGTTACATGAAACTATGCTGGAATAATTAAACGTTTATTCATAATACATTTTCTTTACGAAAGAAAATATATATACACATATATATATATATACTTTTATATATATATACATATATATATATATATATAAAAGTTCTCACAATATAAGACACATTAAAATTTTACTTTTAAAAAAGTACACAAATACACAATTAATGCAATGAAAAATATTTTCATGTTTTTTTTATTGATAAGATATAAAATGATCGTGTAAAAGTCTGACTTCTATAATCATTAAAAATAAATAATGCAAGCGTATATATAAATAATTCGACATTTATATTATATTGTTAATAACCTGCAAAGGGCAGGAAATTAGAGAGGTAATCGATTTACAAAACTTCTATATTGAATCACGAAATTTGGTCTTTATTTCCAAAAATATCTCCCTCATTTCTGGACCGCTCAAAATTGCCTGCAAATACAAATAAAAACTGTGAGAACTTTTTGAATTATATGTATAATTCTTGTTTTCAATATGATCTGGTGATGAAATTTATTGTATTGATTTATATATGGTTTTTTTCTTTTTAAATATAATTCATCTAAACTTCTTTTGTATAAAATAAAATATCTTTTCAAGTATTTCAACATAATAGTGAATGCAATAACAAAAACCACAATTAAAAGGTCAAACACTTTATTTCTTAATGAAAGTATGTACTTAGGATTTGGGACATACAAAAAATTCATATCATCTAAAGTCTGAATGTACATCTCCTTCGACAACGCTTGTGATTGAAATACCCTTTCCAATACCCGACTAAACCTCTGCCTAGACAAACACGTTGTAATCGCGGCGGTAAGAGTGTTGAAGATGGACCATGAAATATGGAATAAATCATCCAGTTGGAAAAGTTATATAAGAAAGAAGATGAAATAAAATGATTCAAGATAAAAGATTTGAAATTCATAACAGAATGTGGATATGTTAGATAAAATTGTAAGTGCATTTACGCAAAATATAAAATCTCTTGAGATAGCAGAGAAGTAAAAGAACAACCAAAGTTGGTTGAATTACCTCACTTCTCAGTTTCTTTTTGTTTTACCTCACACTATCAGTAATCGCAATGATTGTATTTTGTCGAGGCGATATTATTAATTTGTATTGGAAATTGGAGCAATTTCGGTATTTGTAGTCACAATGATAAGGATACTAGAGATATTAACAGTAAAGAGTTATATAATAGGAGTAATAGCGGGGAAAGTAGTAGTAATAAATATTGAACAAGAAGAGAATAGCGCAAGAGTATATACCAATAACAGTAATAATAGTAAGAGTAATAGTGGTAGGAATAGCAGTATAGTAGTATCCGTAGTGATAATTGTAATAATTATAATGTAATAGTACTAATTTTTTTCTCTAGCGTAACAGATAACTATTTCTGTAATCTACTATTATAAAATGAAATTGAGATGAGAACGTTTGGAATATTTCGGTAGATCGCGTTTACATAAGCGATTATAGTTCACCAATTCACTCTATATATACTCACACACCATGAGAGATCAGCTGAGAGCTCCGTATTTCACTTACTTTTATTATTTTTTTTTTTTTTAATTATAATGAATTATAGCCAATAGTCAGATTTAAATCAAATCTGCGACATTCATTGGCATTTCTTCGATACTAGTATTATAGAATTGTTCAATATCTTTCAAGGTTCGTTTATCGTCGTCAGTTACCAAGTTAATTGCCACTCCCTTGCGACCGAAACGACCACCTCGACCGATTCTATAATAATTTATACAATTATTAATGAATTATAAATTAATGAAATTAAAAGTATAATTTAAAATTATATCTAATAGTAATCCAATGTATAAATATCACTTACCTGTGAATATAATTTTCACGATTGGAAGGTAAATCATAATTGATGACAAGTGAAACCTGTTGAACATCAATACCACGTGCTAAAAGATCAGTTGTTATGAGAACACGAGATGATCCAGTTCTAAACTGCCTCATAATGAGATCTCGTTCTTTCTGTTCCATATCTCCATGCATAGCAGAGACCGTAAAGTCACGAGTGCGCATACTTTCTGTTAACCAATCTACTTTACGCCGCGTGTTACAAAAGATAACTGCTTGAGTGATACTCAATGTATCATATAGGTCACAAAGTGTTTCAAATTTCCATTCTTCACGCTCAACATAGATGAAAAATTGTTTAATACCCTCTAGTGTAAGTTCTTCTTTTTTAACCAAAATACGAATTGGATTTCGCATAAAGCATTTAGATACATCTAATACATCTGATGGCATTGTAGCAGATAGTAAAATAACCTGAAAAAATTTTTTATTTTTTTACATCAATCTGTTTATATGATTTTTAATATAAAATATATACGAATTATTAAAATTTTACAAACACTAATATATAATTTTTATATAATTACCAAATTACCCAATATTTCAGATTAAATTTCATATTTATTAATTATATTTATTAACATATTATAAAAATAAAAAAAAAAAATAATTGTATATAAAAAATGTAATACAAGTATATTTTTATCTTATAATTTAAATTTCATTATAGAACAAGATATATTTTAATAACTAAAAAACTTACTAAAAAATAAATTTCATCACATAAAAAATATAATTAAAACTTATATATACCTGTACTTCATGAGGTAATAATTTAAAAACATCATG